TGTGTGTGTGCGTGCATGTGCATGTGCATGTGCATGTATGTGTGTTTGTGTTTGTGTGTGTATGTATGTGTACATATGTACATATGTTCTCTAGCTTGGATGAGCGATGGCGTGATGTGACGAATGGCCTATCCGGTCTTCTGTGCGCATCGCTCAGCTCCATCAACAGTGCAGGCACTGCACAGCCACGTAGGACACTGGAGCCAGAGGGTCTAGATCAAGGTCAGTGTTTGGTCATAATTATAATAATTATTAGGCCATCATTTTTTATATCTGTGTTTCGCGTCAGTTCAACTTCCAGAATCATATGCGAGAGGTGGAAAGAAATAAAAAGTTGCAAAATAATAAAAAAGGATCATCAGAGGTGTATAGCACTGTACATACTACATAGCCTATTGACTATTGTCAATAGCTCGTGCATGGTGGAAATTAAAAAGAAAAAAAATCGTACATCGAAGCACAAATCAGGGTTATCAGCAAGAGGAAATATTCACTTTGGACAGAGGAGGCAACCGTTGGTGCCCATGCTTCGCTGGATTATTGTACTCAGCCTTCAGCAGCGGTGCAAAGAGCTCCGAAACGACGCATCCTCTCAGCTTGAGGCGATCGATGCGGTCTGGTGTAAGGTCAAAGAATTCTGCTCGCAGATGCAGAACAAACGATCTATCAACGCTGGCCTCGAGGCCAATTCTGAATCCCAGCTTCGCCGTATGCAACCAGTCCACACTGATGACTCCCACGATCGTACCCTCACTGTGCATGTTCGATTTTTTTTATTTTTTTCAGAAAAAAATCAAAACGTATGCGTGCGGACGACGCGAAACATAGATATAAAAAATGATGGCCTTATAATGCAGCAGTTCTGACCTGGCAGCCATTGCATTTGGTATGGACGGGGTACTGGATGGGGTACTATCATAATATACCAGTACTTCGAAGTATGATAACACTTTCGTGAATCGTAATGCATGGTTGCTTGTAACAATACTGTTTGGGCCTGCATCCCAAATATGTTTTTGTTGTTGTTGCAACAACAGGCAATCCTTCGTCTCGACTACGCTACTCTAGTCTTCCGAGGGAGATAGTTTGCACTGAGAATCTCACGCCCTTCAAGAAGCTCTTGCCATGCAGTGATAAGGTATGTTTGCTATCATGGCTTCAGTAGTCCATGAGAAGATAAAGCTGACATTCACCATTCCACACAGCAGGTTTTGAAGTAACAGAAATATGAATCAAAATTTTGAAACGATTCAAGAAATGTGAATGATTGTACAAGTAATTTATCCCCAACTTTGATGGAGTTGAAAACGGAAAAGTCCGAAGAAAAATTGACGGTCCCTACCAGGACTCGAACCAGGGACCCATGTGTATGGCCAGCAATGCTCTACCACTAAGCTATAGTGTGGTCGCCGTCCAAGCAATGGCCATTCAATATATTCCTCAGACTTTGAAACTCGCACTTCCGTGAATCCATATGGGCTGGAAACTACAAGCACTAATCTTGTTGGGGGGAGGGCATTAATGTGTGCATATTCAGCAGCATGCATGGCTGTGTGTGCGTCTGTGTGCACACGTGTGTGTGTGTGTGTGTGTGTAACTGTGTATGGTGGTGTGTATGTGTGTATGTGTATGCGTGTGTGTGTGTGTGTATGTGTGCCCATTGTGGTTATCCATGCACTTATCTAGTCTGGCATAGCTCAGCTGCTGAGCGCAAAGAGTGTGATGGATGGTGTGTATCGGTCATTGGCGCTTCACGTACGGCCAATCTGCAGGGTTAGTGAGTGTTAGTAGTACTGTATCACACAATGTTACTACACTGTATTGCTTGCAGCTATGTGGTAGATGTACAGTGGAAACCATACTGCACGTTGTATCACATGTCACTGGTGTTCATCAAGTGCTCTTCCTCTCTGGTTGCATTGGCTCACTGTCACATCGCTAAGACATACACTTCTACCTCGTTTATTGGGGGGGGGGGGGGGGGCGTCCGGGACCGGCCACTGTCCGTAGCTTTGAAATGTCCGTAACGCTGAATCCCATTCGTTGTGTTGGGCAAAGGCCAGAGATATGGCATGTGTCGTCACAATTTCCACAAAAAGTAACAGAAGAGTAGTAATATTTCCATTCAAACTCACCCAAATGGTACCCGGTAGACCAAAGTGCCCGTAACTTCGGTGTCTGGATAACCGAGGTTTGAGTATGTTTGTAACTTTGTTTGTCTCCCATGTACTTGGTCCATGGCCACACTCTCTACTACTGCTTGATCTTTCTCTGATGCTACTCTTGCTGTTGCTGCCGTCATCCTCATTGTCATCATCTTTGATTTCATGTGTACCTCGTTGTCATGTTTCTCACTGTGTTCTGTTCACTATACAGGTGTCTAGTGATATCGAGTGTACATCACTAGGTCTGGAGTTAAGTCTGAGCCTCACGCAGGTAGTGGACCTGCTATCGTATCACTCCACGCCCAGTAAGTGTCTGCATGTGGGGTGTGTGCTCTGCTGCACAAGTCAGTGCTCTGTGTGTGTGTGTGTGTGTGTGTGTGTGTGTGTGTGTGTGTGTGCGTGTGTGCGTGCGTGCGTGTGTGTGTGCATGCGTGCGTGCGTGCGTGCGTGCGTGCGTGCATGCATGTGTTCTCTAGTTCAGATGATTCCGCAGTTCATTGGCCAGCAGTAGTCGTGTGTGTGTGTGTGTGTGTGTGTGTGTGTGTGTGTGTGTCTCTCTCTCTCTCTCTCTCTCTCTCTCTCTCTCTCTCTCTCTCTCTCTCTCTCTCTCTCTCTCTCTCTCTCTCTCACTGTGCCTTTTTTCAGACTGGAGCTTGAAGAAGCTGTTTCGTAGTCAGCTGCCCAGTGCCTGTCCTCTAGCAACAGTCAGCAGAGCAATGGTTGACATCACGCAGAATCAGGTACTCCAAGTGCTGGCTTGCGTGCTGTTGGACACCACTTTCTATCCCATAGGCATACTGTAGGCCTGGGATTGAATGTCTCCATCCAATTTTGCCACTTTCTGGGAAAGCGGCGGCCTTGGAGCAGTGACTGCAGCCACGGCGTGCTCAAGCTTCTTTGCCTGCCAGTATAGGTGGATTTTCGGCATCTGTTTGGAATCCTGAATCATATACAATTGGCATGAATATTCATTAGCTTGGGGGAATGTTGCAATTGGTATGAAGACAATGACCTCATCAGAGCAATGAAGTGTATCATTGTTTGGAGATATCACCACACAATATAACAACATGTGGAGTTTTCGAGTGTTGTTCTATTCCCAAATCGTTTTTGTTTTCCACAAATTCCCAAATCAAAAATCGAATTTGGAATTGAGCAACACTTGAAAGCTGTACACGTTGTTGTGCCGTGTAGTGGTGTGTGCAACATTGATAGTCTCCATTGCTTTCATCACAATCTAAACAATATTTCAATTGGGTCAGATGTTATATCTATGAAAATCAGAGAAGAGTGGTGTGGAAATAGCTCTGGAAGCATTGCCAATCTTCAAAGGCTTTAAAAGCAGTGCTTTGAATCCAGAGTATTACCGGTATGCAAGGTTGTACCGGTAATTGTCCCTGCTATATTTTGTTGTTGCGATGGTCCTACTAGACCCTGTACGAAGCTTCTGTGACGCCCAAGCCATCATCCACACAAGTGCTCACACTCTTTGGGCATCAGCACACATTGGCAGTATATGACGCTCATAAAAGTAAGTGTGCCCGTCCATGTGCATATGTGTATGCGTGTGTGTGTGTGGGGGGGGGGGGGGGGGGGGGGGTGCACGCGTGCACGTGTGTGTGTGTGTGTGTGTGTGTGTGTGTGTGTGTGTGTGTGTGTGTGTGTGTGGTGTTGTTGTGTGCATGTGGGGGTGGGTGTGGGTGTGTGTGTGTGTGTGTGTGTGTGTGTGTGTGTGTGGTGTTGTTGTGTGCATGTGAGTGAATTCAGTAGATGTACTAGTATATGAGTGTACTTCGAAGTACATGATTGTACATGTTTGCTTGCGCCATGCAGCAGCATGCTGAAGTGATCTATTCATGTTTGCTTGCGCCATGCAGCAGCATGCTGAAGTGATCTATTCATGTTTGCAGATATCACAAATCATGGCTAGAGTTCCCGAGATGTGTAGCGAGTTGAATTTTGTTGCTGCCCCTTGCTTTTTTCTAGCACTAGTAATCATCTGTTCTGTGTGTGTGTGTGTGTTCTGTGTGTGTGTGTGTGTGTGTGTGTGTGTGTGTGTGTGTGTGTGTGTGTGTGTGTGTGTGTGTGTGTGTGTCCCATATGGTGCAGTGGTATGTGCAGCGATTTCCAATCGATAGGTTGCGGGTTCGATTCCCGACGATTATGGTCACACACGTCTTTCTTCTCTTTCTCAGACTCTTCCTGACTTTTCTTTCATTCTCCTGGGTGGTTACCAACAGCCAGTGTATGCCGGAGTATGCGGTGTGGTGTGTGTAGAAAAAATGGAAAAATGAAAAATAGGGATTCACTGGCCAGAAAAAGTCACTTCAAACAGCTGTGTGGTGGATACCAGGCTAAAAATAGTGGCGGTCAATTCATCAGCCTTGCAAGCTGTTGAATGGTGTAATCCCAGCACAAGTTGCTATGTCTAACACAGCTGTTCGCTATCATCGCTTCCGCGATGGGCATGTCTGAGGTCTGAGGTCTGAGGTGTGCGCACGTGCGTGCTTGTGTGTGTGTATGTATCATTATGTATGTTGTTGTTGCTCTTTTTCTTGCTCTCGTGATAGTTAACTCTAGTCGCCCTGTGAACATCATCTGGCGCTATTCCACCCCTGAGACCTATGGTAAGTAAGCTACTTGAAGTGGTATCTTACTGAAGGCTGTAATGTAGTTATGAGTACAGTCAACTTCGCTTATAACGACACTCGGCGGGGCGTCAAAAAGGTGTCCTTATTCGCGAAGTGTCGTTATACCCGAAGTCTCATTATATGTATTACAGTGGGATGGGACTTTGCTCTGGGCATGGAAATTCTGTCGTTATTCGCGAATTGTCGTTATATCCGCAGTCTTTATTGGCGAAGTTGACTGTAGTTGGAAGTACTCCGAAGAGTACATGCTACTCTACAACTGTGTCAACAGTGCCATGCTGGCAAGTGAAATCCAGCAGCCCCAGTCCCGAAGTAGCAGCTCCATGGGCAGTGTCACCCTAGCATCACAAACACTGCGCTGTGCAATGAGCAGGTGAACGTGGCAGGGGCTCTGCTTTTTCGGGAGGTGGAGTTTCTTGCCACCACTGTAGCTTGATGCAAAAACTCATACTTTGAGGTAGTTGCCATGGTATCTGATCGGATCTCGTACAACAGCATAGTTTTCTTGGGTCACCACTAGCCTCAATACTACGATTATAGTAATTATTCTATTGAGGCTAGTGGTGACCCAAGAAAATTTTACTTCAAAGTAGTTACGTCTCTAGTACACGCTGCTGAGTTTCAGGATGGGATTCTGCAGGTTAGATGTTGTGCTGGATTGTTTTCTCACTGCTACATATACATGTACATACGAGGTTGTACTCATATGCAAGTAGTACTTCGAAGTATGTGGAATCAATCTGAGTGTGCTGACTAGTGGGCTGCGGTGTTTGTATGTCGCACGCCATTGTCGACTCGACTTTCCCTTTCCTTTGTTTGGAGCGGCTAGAAAATAGGGTTTGACAGTGGCCGCTTACTCTCTCCTTGCATCACATGTAGAAGTGTGCCGACGCGGAGTTATGTGTGCACATGTGTGTGTGTTTACGTGTGTACGTGTGTACGTATGTGTGTGTGTGTGTTTACATGTCCAGCCAAGGTACCAAAGCCTGTGTTCTTCATCGAGCGTTTAGCTACTGGTAAGTCACTTTCTTCTAAACCTTTCCCTCCCCCCACCCCCCCCCCCCTCCCCCCTCCTCCCAATTTCACAGGAGTAACTAATTACTTACGTATTGTAGCATATTGTTTTCACAGCACATGTACAATATAGTTGTATATCTAGCAGTAGCAGTACTTTCATCCTCTACAGCCTGCATTAGCGTATCATTTGAATCATTTCCTTCACTGTTTGCCGGTTTACCTTCTTAACATGTGCCTTACAATGTGCATCACTTTGCAAGCTGCGAGTTAGCTTCAAGGTGAGCAATTATATGCTTGGACACGTTCACCGTCATGACAGTGTATGACTTGAGCACGTGATGACGCAGGGCCACACGGCGGCCATATCCGTGCTTGTTTGTATTGTACGTACTACTTATACCAACCAGCAGGCAGTAAAAAAATTGATTGTGTATGTGTTGATCATGCATGTCCACTTGATACCTGCGTTTCCTGAGCATGTGCACGGGGGGGGGGGGGGGCTGCTACCTTCTGCAACTCAGTACAGACTGTACAATGAAACCTGTCAAGGCGACCACTTTGATAAGGCAACCACCTGTCCCAGAGGACCACTGCAACCAGGACCAAGGGATGCTACTTCCAGTCAAATGACCCTGGATAAGAAGACCACCTGCACATGGGGACCACAGTTGTAAGGTCCCTTGAGCGGTCGGCTAAGACAGGTTTTGCTGTACATCGTTCTCTTAAACACTTTTTTTCTTTTTTCTTTTTGCCTGTGTGATGTTATTGCTGTTATTGCTGATAGGCTATGGTGATCAAGATGGTGGATTGTTGGTACGCCTGCATAATACTCACCCAGACAATACACTCTCGCTTACCTACATGGAAACGACACTCTGGTACTTTCGCCTTCTGCTGCACACCATGCAGGCAACAGTGAACGGACAGCCAGTCGATCGTGAGTACTAGTACACTGCTGTACATTATCACAGTAGAATAAGCCCAGCATTGTGCAAAAATAGTAATAATGTATTGCCCCGGCCAATCAGCATATTGACAAGGCGTATCATGCTGTATGAGTATCGATGTCACGCATGCTGTAGGGCATGCTTTTTTAAGGAGCTGCAAATTTATCTCATCTGTAGGTCCATTATGAGATTATGCATACCGTAAAAGTCCGTAAATAAGTACGTATCTACTTTCGAATTTAGTGACCACACCCGTACTAACTTTCGGGTGGGTACTGACTTTCGGGCACGAACTAACTTTCGGACCTGACTTGTGTGTAGTGGAGAAGTCATGCTACGTGCTGCATGTGCGCACCGTACCGGTACTTATTTTGGGCAGTATGTTTATCGGCCTTGACTTGACTTCAACAGACAGAGCCAAAAGATTGAAGGGGGTATTTCTTTCGGGCAGGTGCTTATTTACGGACTTTTACGGTATGTCTTGCTGTATACATGTACTGCGATTGAGAAGTTTCTCTTCAGGCCAGCTTGCCCTGGCACTTGGATCAATTGCACTACTTGATGTACATATTCAACATCTCTTCAGTGTATGAATCACTTCTCCTGTGAACTTGACAAATGGAAACACCGTGAATATCACATTGCGTGTTGCTGTTGTGACTTGTCTTTATGATCTGCACTTGGTCGACATAGAGTATAGACGGAGGTGAGCATGAGAGGCAGCCGAACGACCCCCTTCTTGTATGCTTGCTTCCACGACCCCCCCCCCCCCCCCCCCACACACACTCCCTCACTTTCAAAATTTGTTTCTCAGTTGTAGTGTGTGTGTTGTGATACTGTGTAAGGCACGACAGGATCATTGCATTCTGACCAGGTATCACTTAGCGTTCATCTGGTTGCCGAGAAATCAACGCTTTTTTGGTGTCTGTGCTTTTCATGTTCTCACTGGTGTGTTTGCCCAGTTTGGCCAAACCTGACGTACGTGGCAGCTAAAGACCGTAAGAAACCCCACCAGCTCGAATTTGATCTGCAACTTCCTCCCAGTTCGGTTCTGGAAATCCGCATGGAGTTCGACAAAGCCTTCCAGATCTGGAACGAGTTCCCGCCTGACGCTCATCATGGATTCTACATGAGGTAAGAAAACAAGCAAGTAAAGCGAGGTGTTTGCCTCTCGCCAGATCTTTATCCTTTCACTGAGGCTTTCAGCACGTATGATGTTTATGTTCTGCATTGAACACAGTCGCACAGGTGGTGTAAATGTTTATCCGATTTGCGTTGAATCAACCTGGAATAATCCATGCACCATAGTCGGTAATGCCGCTAATGGACAACAGCTATGTCTTTTGTGTAGCAAGCAAACATTAGAAACTTTACTGGCAGTACAATTATACGTCCACACGACCGTTTGTTCTATTTTTGAAGGCATGATACAGTAGCTGGCAGAATGAAACTTTGTGACGGCTGCAGCACACATGTGCTGGTGTGCAACACAAGTGTAGCAAATGCCCAGGCCATGTGCTGGGGCATCTTCACCAGAATAATTTATTTCAGATGCAGTGTATTTTTCAACGGAGACCAATTTTCAATGCATTCATGGCATGTATGTTGCCTGTTTGTCATTCTGTTCCTGTCTTTCACTGCATTGCTATAGTTCTGGTGTGGCACGTGTTCTCAACTTGAAGTCAATCAATGCCTCCGGCCTACTAGGACTACCACAGTCTTTTGTCATGCCATGGTGAGTGGTCATACTGGCCCTTCCTGTCCCTGTCCCCTCCACCCCCCCCCCCCCCCCCACCCCCCCCCCCCCCTCCCTCGCCACTGTGTCCTCTTGCTTTGAAACTTCTCTGCTACCGGTAGTCGTTCTGGCTTTCTGTCACATTTCCCTGCTCTCTCTCTCTCCCTCTCTCTCTCTCTCTCTCTCTCTCTCTCTCTCTCTCTCTCTCTCTCTCTCTCTCTCTCTCTCTCTCTCTCTCTCTCTCTCTCTTCTCTCTCTCTCTCTCTCTCTCTCTCTCTCTCTCTCCGCACCCCTAACTGCCACCTCAGAGACTAGAGTTAGAACTGGCTGAAAATGAAGGTCCTGAATCCATATTGCATAACCATCGTATTGAAGCAATCGTGGTATCTCCTGTACCGACATTTCACAAGGCCAATGGCTGTAAATTATAAAATGGCATGCACCTACTTCAAGTATAAAGTGTACAGCCCAGCTTGCAAAGATGTGACATTATTAGCATTATGTTGTATTAATTTTGGAAGTGAACTAGTGGTTAAACACACACCTGGCAATATGGCGGGAAATACACTCCACAAGATACATGTTCATTGATTTGAGGGAAAGATGCAAACGGGAAAAGTCTGAAGAAAAAATTGACTGTCACTACCAGGACTCGATATATACACACACACAGATACATGTTGTATGTAGAAGAGAGATATTTGGTGAAGTTTTTTTTACATTAGAGAGGTTAAGTTTCACGTAAAATTCTTACGTCCGTGAACTTTTACGTCAAAAAGTGAAAAACTCACGTAAAATTTGACGTGTTTTACGTGAGTTGGCTGTCCCGCACGTAACTTCATGACGTGGGTTTTTGGAAGTTTCGCTTGGTTATCCCGACCAAATTTGTGTGAGTTTCCGGAGTTTTATCGAGTTTGTTGGAAGATTTGATATTTGTGCGAACTAAACCCGAATCCTGCCAGGCAAAATTTCACGTCACGTCGCACGTGTAACTTAACCTCTAAAAATTACACGTAACGTGAGATTTTCACCGCGTTTTGATAAAGGGCAAAAAAACGTGTAACTTAACCTCTCTATTGTGTTAAAAAAAACCTTTCCTTCTACTGGTATTTGTGTGCTGTGCACTACAGGCAAAGTAGTCACGAGTCATTGCTGGTTCATTCACCACCGCTGCTGATCATGCTGCCCACGCCGGATTTCAGCATGCCGTACAATGTCATTTGCCTGTCCTGCACCGTTGTGGCGATAGCGTTCGGCAGCATGCACAACTTGTCCATCAAGAGGTTTACGCTTCAAGCTGCCGCATCAACATCGCTGAAAGATCGCATCCTGAAACTCTTTCGCCGGGGTACTGCACAGAGCTAAGGTATCTTTGACTCGCTTAGCTGGAGTACGACTCGTACCAGGTGTCTGGTTTGTAGTAACCCTGTTTACAAGAATTTGTACAGATCGCAAAGTTGTTGTTGAACTTGACAAGTACCGTATTTTTCCGGTTATAAGTCGACCTGTTACGACATTATGACGGTAAAATACGGTACATGTGCTGTGTTTACCAAGCTTCCTTCTTGCCAGATCTCCTCAGCTCGGTAAACCCTCACTATTGCCCAACTAGAAATACGACTAGGGGTAGATCTACTCCCTGGCCTCGATCGTTTAGCGTTCCATATTCTCCTCTTATTCTCCTGTCTATATTTTTTTCCTGCTCAGCCGATGCCAAAGTGACGTAGGCATCCCGGGGATTGTGTGCTGGCGTATTTCACAACCCTTCACAACCCTTGTTTTCTAACCCAACCTTTGACGTATCCTCTTGTACATCCCTTTGAAGTCATTGCGTGTACTCCCTTCCCATGTACATACTAGTACTTGCATTTATTTGATATTTTGTTAGAGCTGTTCGTGTAGCTATTGTACAGTGTTTTTGGCTGGCTATTTACAATGCACTTGTCACGCGTTATGAGTATAATGTTACAGAGCGGCTTGTCTTGTAAATACAGACGGTGTGCGTTCAGGAGCCAACAAGCCTGCTTGTACATGTGTAAGCATTTTGACGTTGGTTGGCCTTGTCGACTTGTGTGCGGTGTAATGCTACAGTACACGTATCAGTATGTGTGTGCTGTGAGGTTCCACATACCAGATACAGTATGCATACCCACAGGGAGCATGTTGTTCCTGTTCATCATGCTCGGACTCTCAATCTCAACAAGAGTTACAGTATTATAACCCCATGCCCAAAATGCTTTTTATTTATACTCCTGCAGTCCTGGTCAGGGAGCCCTGCACGTGCGGTACGCGGTATGTGTAGGCCAGATTCCGGATACCGAGCACCAGGCCTACCGGAGCAGTACTGTAAAACTGGGAATTTTCCGTACTACATGGTGTAATACTTTCTGTATTTCTGAAAGTCAACGGTTCAGTGCCGCGCAAATTTCGGCTTTACTGGAAAATCTCGGTGGAGATATAATTTTTTTGAATTCTCATAAATATTTTTTTATGGTGGAGATATAATTATTTTCGGTAACTTCGGTACGAGTACAGGTAATCTTTACCTAAATATAACGCGACCTAAAATTCAAGAATGCCATGCCGGCATGCCACACAGTCAAATTTAGTTTTCCAGCTCCAAAAATTCATTTTGCACACAGTGGCATTGTTGAATGTTAAGTCGCGTTTTATTGTAGGTAAAAATAATTACATTTTCCGGTTTGCAGACTTTTGCAGTACATTTTTTTTATGCTGTGCAAATGATGTCATGCTATGAAACTTCTGTAGATATGTGACGTCATAGCCATGATCACGTTCGAGACAGCTTTGATTTGAACAGCCACAAAACTGCTGTGAGCCAGTCAATCCTGGTTCGTCAGAAACTGATTGATTTCTGTTCGTCCTCTTCTTTTCGTCGTGCTGCATGCTGGGCTGATGCATACTTGTGGATTATTCTCTACTATCAACACCTAGGACACCCATAGTCAATAAGAATGAATTACTTCGGCGACGAGGTCCCCTCACCTGCTGAAGGTACAAGTCACTTTCGCTCTGTGAATAGTGAAATATTTGAATTCAGTCACACTTCCTGTCTAATTCTCCTCTCCTGAATAGGCACTGGAGAAACAACATCGTTTAGAGACAGCTCTCTGATACAATGGTCACATCCTGTTGCCAGAATGGCGTCGGCTATGGCGGAGAAATGCGTGGTGGCTGTGTCCCCTGAACAAGTATCCAGTGCAGTGCAGCAGATTCAGACGGTGCTGTTAGGAACTGACTCCATTGCCAGAGGTAACACAGTCACTGTTGACGTGTTGTCCTACTGCATAGCTTGTGACATTGTACAGTATACGTTTAGGCACACAGGCGCATGTGTGTACACCCACATATGAACGTCCGCGCACACGCACGTGTGCGCGCGCACACACACACTCACACACACACACACGCGCAGGCGCGTGCGCCCACGCACACATGCACACACACACACACACACACACACACACACACACCATTGGACCATTGGACGCCCATCGCCGGAGGTGATGATAGCGATGCTACAGCAGAAGCCATAGCAGCTTGTGCTGGGATTGCACCATTCAACAGGTTGCAAGGCTGAAGAATTGACCGCTACTATTCAGCCTGGTCTACACCACACAGCAGTGGCTTTTTCACACACACACACACACACACCCACACACCCACACACACACTTGTACTTGTACTTGTTGCTCACTGCCAAAACTGGTCACGTGGGTCTCCCCGGGAGAGGGGAGAGAGACTCGAAAGGAATCTTGGAAAGATGACTCAATTGGCTATTGAACCGCCCAATGGCCGACACCCCCTGAAATCCCCAAAACTCTGGGTGGACTTGAAAATGATCCCACTTATGGGCTCACCACACCTCAGTAAGTGGGTGAGGACAAGGTGCAGAAAAAGGGTTGACGGCATCAGGGTATCCGTCCCGGGATCCAACCGCAGTTACCCCTGCCCCCAGTTAAGGTAGTACTTGCTACTAGTGTGGGTGGCTAAATCAGAGTGGATCTGATACAAGCTTCACTAGCACCATGATCACACAAGAGTTAATCTAGCCAGAAGTAGTCCATGGTTAACAGGTATGTATACTTCAAATAGAAAGTATAATTATGAACCCTGAAACCAAACACACACACACACACACACACCTAAATTTTGTTTGCCTGGAATTACGTTTTACTGTCATGACGACGTGTGTGTGTGTGTGTGTGTGTGTGTGTGCGCGCGCGCGTACGCGTACGTGTGTGTACATGCTAGGTGATGAGCTTCAAAGGGCCAGCGAGTGTCTTCGCTCACCGTCTGCGTCGTCATCCGAGGTCATGCAGTCTCTGTCCAGTGCGCTAGAGAAGCAGCAACAGATAAACCAGGTACAGTGCAGTGTAGGGTGCAGCACTGTTCTGTGTGTGCTTTGCAATGGCATAGTGCAGAATGACAGTGGAGCGAGTGGGCAATAAACTACAAATGAAATAGAGAACCTACATTTCTGTCCTGTTCTGTGTATGTAAGTGTAGTCATCCAGGTCCGGGTTAGTGTATTGGTTCGAAGCGGTGTATGCGTAAGTCGCTAAGTGTGAGCTGGTATTACATCAATGCCTGTGCACTGGTGTTGAACTCTCTCTCTCTCTCTCTCTCTCTCTCTCTCTCTCTCTCTCTCTCTCTCTCTCTCTCTCTCTCTCTCTCTCTCTCTCTCTCTCTCTCTCTCTCTCTCTCTCTCTCTCTCTCTCTCTCTCTCTCTCTCTCTCTCTCTCTCTCGTAGTGAAGCATTCTCTGTGCTCTGCTGTTTGGTGATTTGCTGATTCTCTTTCTCTCAGGCACACACGCAAATGGTGCAGCTAAACTCTTTCGTCAACGTTGCCAATTACGCCCGGCATCAGAAAGTTGAGGTAAATGCATGGCTACTTTACTGATGCAAGCTCTCAAGTGTATACTCACACACTTGCATCTGGTACATTCATGGTACAAGTCACATCCAAACTTGTGAATACTCACACACTTCCATCTGTCGCATTTATGGTCCGAATCACGCACAGACTTGATGTTTCAACAAGCACTCGAAGTTGGTGCAAGTTTGGAACTGCCTCTTTCGATATTCCAAAAATATATAGTCGAGCAATGGTGGTAAAGATACACCTGGCGAAATGGTGGCAAATACTTGCCTGTCTTCACACCGCTCTATAAGCTGCAGAGTTCACCAGGTGTGTTTTACCACCGTTTCTCTACTACTAGCATATATGATGCTGAATTGGAGTTCACATCATCCAGTTATGTCGAAATATGTTCAGAACTCTTCACAGAGAGGCTTTTGCTGAGTGCTGTCACTGCTGTGTTCTCGATTTTCTGTGTTGTCATTGCAGCAAGCACTGGTTGAAGGGCACCGGCATTTAAATCGCCTCTCAGAACACATGGTCGCACAGGCCGAAACTATAGGTAAGCTGCTGCCACCACCTAGTACTACTAACAATGGTAGTGTTACAGTCGACTCCTGATATAACGAACACCATTGTGCAGGAGAGTTAGTTCTTTATAGCCGAAGTTCATTATAACAGAAATGCACTCATATATTCAAGGAGCGAGTTATGACTGGAAAGTGGCCCATGACAGCATGAATGCACTTGGTTTACATGCTGCCATACACAATTTGGTTCGTTAGAAATGAAAACCGTTTGCTATAGCCAGTACAGTCTGTATCGGCTATAGAGTGACCGGATATAAGAATATACCGGCTACAGTGATATTGGTACGAAATATCAAAAGCAAAACGTATTTTATCCAGTACAAATATCACTATAACCAATATTATCGGATGTAATGATATATCGGATATTATGATGGCAACAAAGAATCAAAACATGCATAGCACACTATATTATTATCGGCTATTGTGATAACTTTAGAATACATGTAGCAATAATATCAAAGGCCCTATTTTTTTACTTTCTTCACGTTGCTTATTTTTATAGTGATACATGTACATAACAGAATTTTTTAATGGAAATGCGGGCACTGTCAACTACAATGTATGCAGCATGCTCATTTGTCAAAACGCCATGCTGGAAGTACTATACATTGTATTTCCTTGCCTTTCATGTGTAGATTGAAAAAAGAAAAAAAATCGATCGTATCGCATATAGTGATGCATCGGTTATAGTGATAAAATCATGGAAATCAAAAGGGTACGCTATAGCCGATACAGACTGTATAGGGTAAATTTTGTATGGGCTCAAACAGGGGCATGGACAAGGGTTCGCTATATCACGAAATTCGCTATATGCGAGTTCGTTGTATGTGGAGTCGACTGTAGTTGTTCTTGATTCTCTCCTCACTACAATGTGTGTGTGTGTGTGTGTGTACGTGTACGTGTGCATGCATGCGTGTGTGCCTATTGCATGCTACTTACAAGTACAGATGGTCTTGAGACGTCAGTGGATGGACTGAGACAAGAAGTAGCTGTGCAACGACAGGTGTCTGGCCGCCTCTCCATGTCTCTAGAAGAGCAAGGAGAGATGATCCGTGATTCGATCAAGGAGGTGAGACAAGCCGCTGATTGACACTGATTGTATTGGCAGTGTCTTTACTCTTTAGTAGTGCAACACCTTTATCCTGGCTGTAATGCATAGTTCTTGAATGTTCTGACCGTTATATTGAGCACCCGCACCCGTACCTTGTAAGACAGAAGGGTGGCGTCCAGTTGTATGCTGCATTGCACAGGGTCAATTCAGCTGTGTTACTCAATAGGGCAACAGAGTGATCACGTTGAACTGGATGCATCATGAGGACCATCCGATGACGAAGGACCAGTGCCCTCGGGCCATCCAGTTCCTCTTCAGAAACTGATCCTTGCCCCTTGTGGAATCCCCAGATAATGTCCTCCTCTGTTGCATTGTGCAGTATCAGTGTGGATTGCTGTTGTAGAGGATGGCGATGGCAGATTGCCTGGGCATGTCCTATGCTCTTGCAAGCCAGAAAAGTGCATAGCTTGCATTCTTTTTCTGCTTTTGTGTGTTGTGCATGGCAGCAACGTCTTGAGCTGGACCAGCAAAGCGCTATTCTCGCCCAGCAACAACATCTTCTAGAGGTAATCAAACATTCCAAACATTCTGCTCACTCCATATGCTGTGTCTTGGCAATGCCATGCTGTCTGCGGGAGAACTGTAACTCTACACTCCCTCACTTGCGTACCACGACACTGACACAATGACAACACCAATGTGTAGCTGCTCATTGACACTAACGTTCCACTCTCCTGTGACCAGGTCTTCTTGCTGAATGCGACTCGACAGGTCAGCACAACCGGTGGCAACATCGTTGTGTAGATCATCATCCCATCCGCCACCATCTCTGCATGTCGGGCGCTTTAGAAAACTGCAGGCTGGTCAGAGCCTAGAACAAACACGATAATGTGACACTTGTCGTCCACATCAGGAAGAAACACCGCGCTTGTTGAGTTTGCCGCACCCCAGGCGAGCACCATTGCGTCGCTTCCAACGAGTCTCGCCGTTGTGACACATGGGCAGAGCTAGCGGTCTTGGCTGGCTTAGTGTGCAAACCATAGCGCTCAAGAGTATTTGCAACAGACTTCACCCTCGGCCTCGGGACATACAGGTCGTCAGCATAGTTATAGTTGATCTGCTTCTGTGTACTGTAATTGCACTCCACCAACGGCGGGCACGACACTACTCACAAAAATAAATAAATAATTACTATAGCACTCCGAAAGCCGCACTCTTTCGCGGTTTCCGGCACCACGAAGTTGTGAGAGAACTGGAACTCTACACTTTCTCACTTGCACATCACAACACAGAGGACAACCAGGTAGTGACGTATAGTGATTCCTATAATTGTCATTTTCGGTTTTCAGCCCAATAGGACTCGCTTGCTGGGAAACTCTGTGTGGTAGTAGTGGTGACAGCAATTGAGAAGCCATCAAGGGCACATGTTATGCATTGTCTCCACCATCATGTGATTGGCAACCTGGCTAATAATAATCTATGTAACATTGTCCTCATGGCCTCTTTGACACGCTTCTTTATGGCCTCTTTGACACGCTTCTCTAGCATATCCTCATGGCCTCTTTGAGACGCTTCTTTAGCATATCCAGTGCTGCCAAACCGTCCGATTTTTCGGACAGTGTCCGATTTTTGAAGGCTCTTCCGAAAACCGGTCCGAAAAGGGAAACGTCCGAAAAGCATGCAAATCTGTTAGAGATCATTACGTTCCTATGCAGAAGTCCTGTATTTTCACTTTTCTGCGCAACTGAAGGCACGAAACACTGTACATGTGCTTCTAAAAAGGCTGGCGCTTGGCTGTTGAAGTGCGAAGTACCAGTTACATGCCTGGATGCAATGTACACTGTACAATGTGTGACCACAGTCAAAATTCATGACAACTTCGGGGTGCCATTTCCGTTACCATGGGAACGAAGCGATTTTTCATGGTATTTTGGGCGATATTTTGAATTCTCTGGAAAAATTTGCTGAGAAGATAAATTCACACCATGTGGCCAGCCTTGGCGGTGAAGGGTGTCCGATTTGGGGCGAAAATTATTTGGCAGCACTGCATATCCTCATGGCCTCTTTGAGACGCTTCTTTAGCATATCGTGCCCGGTTTCAGAAGTGGCTGCCTTGTTGGGAGAAGCAGCTTCAACTGTAACGGTGTATGCTGCTCAACATTAACTTACTGAGTGTGTAATGTCATCTTTGCCTGCAGCGTGTGATGAAAAATAAACTACGGCAAGACTGTGTCATTGATTGCGGGTGAGTGGAATTAACTTGGCTTTCTTTCTTAGGGTACTGTAAAGTGTGAAATTTTCGCGGCGTTTTTAGTTCGCGTTTTCAGAATCCGGACAGGTTTGCGAGGTTTTAATTTTGTGATTGCAAAATGGCATTCTTGCTAGACCTTTCATGGATCTCCTTTTCGCGCTGTCTAAATTTCGCGATTTCCACGCCGTCGCAAATTTTGCAGAAATTAGACCATCGCAATAATTTCACGGTTTACAGTATGACTATGGGCAACAGCCGTTTTTGAGTGTTAGGTGGTCGTTCACCTTCTTTTCTTTTTTTTTTGTTGACTTAATCCCAGTGAGTATTGAAAGGCTTGGTGGCTGCTGGAGCTCTCGTGTCGTCCATAATTATAGGAAAGGACAGGCTTTACTCCTTTCATCCTCTCACGGCCGTCGCCGTTTCAATATTTTACTAAGAGTCCATAACCAAGAGTGTGCAACTGTGATTGTGGGTCAGTGCACGGTGCCTGCCTTACATGTAACTTGTCTGCATCACACCCTGTACACATGCACTCAAGCCCACAATCTCTCATACCAGCACACCTGCTTCTGCTTGCTTCGCTCAAGTACTGACGTTATATCTAGTTAGGATGCATGAACTTCAGTTCTGTGCGAAAGTTGGCTTCAAGCCACAAGGAAAGTGTGGCCTTGATTTTCACAGCGCAGGGATGTGCAGTGTAGCTGCATGAAACGCAGGGATGTACAATGTAGCTGCATGATGATGTAATGAAGACAGCCGTGCACTGTGTACCTGGTACATGTACATAGAAAAGAGACCACACAAGCATACATGTACAATTATGGCATAGCCAAGACCAAGGAGTGCTAAAAAACGTTTTTAGTACTCCCTGGTCAAGACTATGGACTCTTGATTTTACTATTGTTCTTGTTTACCCTGCTGCTGCTGTTTGTGGTGGTGGTGCAGGCTTGTTGCAGGGAGCATGATTGCTGTCAACACTCTGTTCTTCACATTACCACTTGGTCTCATTCTAACCGCAATTCCACAGCCAAGATTTCGCAAATGGTATGTCACTTATCAGTCAAGAGGGGAAGACAGCATTGAAGACAGCAATGCTGTTGTTGTAGACCCATGCGCTTTGTATACGGATAGAGTGGCAGGTATTCCTTGGATAGAGTGGCAGGTATTCCTTGGCTGCTTGTTGTAGGTCAGATACTAGTACAGTTAGACCTCGCTTATCCGGATCCCTCGCCATCCGGAAGAAAATCGTTGGTTACCGATTTACAGCATATGTCATGCATACATTCAGTATGTGTATTCGATTATCCGGTTCCCTCGCCTATCCGGATCTTTTTTTGTGGAAAACGGATGTGTGCAAAACACCTGCTCTGCACATGAAGCATTCGTGTTGTTATTGTTGTTATTATTCTTCACGATGGCGACTTGCGCCAATTGTTGTTGTTTCAAATCTTTATTCTCACGATAGCCTTTGGTGTTGTTGTTGTTGTAAATCTTTATTCTCACGATTGTTGTTCTTGTGCTATATGGTTACAGGCTACGGCAATTCATCAAGTTGGCAGCAGCGTCTCGGATGTTTCTGATGCTGCGACCGTATGTCATCAAAGTTGGCGCACACAGTGGGTAAGTAACCTCGTGTGTGTGTGGGGGGGGGGGGGGGCATGCACTTGCACATACTCACATATGCGTGTGTGCATGCCTGTTTACCCTGCCATACCGGCGTGTCTGTACATGTACTACATGCGGACTGCATGTACATGATGCTGCAGACTACATGTACATGATGCTGCGGATGTCAACGTGTTCCCGTGTACAAACCCTCCTTGCCTGCTGTCAGTGTAATCACTAATGTCTCAGCAGAGAAAACAATTGCTCTGTGTTCATCATGCCGTCATTTTTTGACTAGGGACTGGTGGGTGGGTATGCTTTATCATGGTTCAACTACCCAATGCAGGTCTGAATTTGTGTGCTGAATTTCCGAACCACACCCGGTCTGGCAGGCCAGGAACCTGCTGTACGCGTATGCTGCAAGTGTTTGTGAAAGCACTCCGTCATCATCTAGGCATTCGTAAATCAGTACAATCATTTACATGTATTGCACACGGCCAAACTTAGCAAGTCCTCTTTGACTATCACCGACCCCTTGGTCATTAGGCATTCGTGTAATCTCCCTGGAGGATGTGACTACCAGCCACTACACGTACACGGCAGGGATAACAACTGTAAAAGGGAAGTGCATGTACAATTTGCACTGGAAAAGTCAGTACACATGTACCATACTGACAAATTCATTGCATGACGTGAAACAATCAAAACAGCTTGACACAGGCAATCCATCGTCTCAACCTTCTCTCCAGTATATATAATATGTACAACGTGAACATCAAGAAAATACCGGTATGGGTATTCAGATGGGACTTCAATGTCATTGTGACACGTAGAATTAGCATGACATGCAGTGACATGCTTTATAAAATTATAAGCATGTGCTGTTTGCACCGTGTGTGTGTGTGTGTGTGTGTGTGCGTGCGTGCGTGTGTGCGTGCGTGTGTGTGCATGCGTGCGTATGCTATCTACATGAGAATGGCTAAAAGCATTAAAATCCAGCTCAACAGTAAAGAAGTAGAGTAGTAATGTGTGTGTGTGCCTGCACACACCAAGCAATACAATCATGTACCTAGTTTTATGACATTTACTTTTCGTGGTATGAATTGTTCAACTTTTTATGGTAGAAAGTGGTTTTTTAAATATTCCAGATAGGTAGTAGCTGATACAGAGTAGACAATAAATAACCCACACGCTCCATTCCATCGCTGTAGTCTACTAGAATATTCCCTATCTGTCTTCGCCTTCGTCGAACGACAAGAGGCTTAGATTCTTGGGACCATTGGGCGGGCGTTTCTTTTTCTTCTTCTTGGAAGGCTTCTCATTCTTGCTCTCTTCAGTGGCCGCCTTTGTCTCTGGCTCCGAGCCACTGCCATTCTCCTTGTCTTTCGTCTTCTTCTTTGGTTGCCGAAACTTTACCTTGCCGCTGTCGTCGTCATCATCCTCACTGTCATCTGCATCAATACGAAGAAGTGAATATGGACACATCTATTACATCTATTTGAGCCTTTGAGGGAGCTACAAGCGGGAAAAGTCTGAAGAAGAAAAAAAAAATGACTGTCAATCAGGACTCGAACCAGGGACCCTCGCTTATGGCCAGTGATGCTCCACCACTAAGGTATGGTGTAGTCGTCATCCCAGCAGCGACTATAACTGTTCCAATTTGACCACCTCCAGGTCAATGCTCTTAAGCCTGGTTCACACTAGGCCGATTTTCCGGCCGGTGCTCCGACTCCGACATGGAGTCTGCCGACTGTGTCGACTGAGTCGGACGGCCTGTTCACACACGGGGAACGACTCACTCGCAATAAAGTCGCATCGATTATCCATAAAAGCAAGAGTTCATGGGGGTTATGAAATTTTAGTAGGACTTTACATTTCATCAAGAGTACAAAGTACAAGAGGTCATGAGCTCGACATCGACGCTCTTTGCTGTCATGGTGAAAAGCCTACCGTGATTGGTCTGAATCCTGCTCCATCACGTGCAAGCAGTAAAAATCGGCCGGCTTTTCGGCTAAATATCGATCAGTCGATACTTGGCCGAAAACTAGTGCGACAAGAAAATCGCCGCAGATTTGTCGGAACCCTGTACGACAACACAGTTCACACTACGCAATTTTCGCCCCGGTCTTGAGGATTTTTCGTACGAGTCCATGTCGGCCGGAAAATCGGCCTAGTGTGAACCAGGCATTAGAAACTGTAACCCCAATATCACAGGCATCATGTATGTTGTTGTATCATTGCCATGCCATGCCATGGATCTGTCCAGGCTGCATACCGGATTTCAGACATTCATGTATCTCGCCATGCCAAAGTTCTATCTTGGCATCCAAGCTATGGTAGTATGGGACACGTTTCCAAGACTGTTCCAGACAACACAGGACTCTTAGCACCTATGGGTATGAGGCTGTATCTACATGTGTGTAACACAGGGCATGTAGGCCTTAGAGCACACCTACTATGCTATGTGTATCAGGCTATGTGTACATGTACTAGTTGTGAAGTATGATTAGACAGACCTCCAGTGAGATTATAAACAATGTGACTAGTAGTGTTGACACAGCAGGCTCAAACATGGAAATTCGAAAACAAAACACTTGTACTCTGACTGATGCTCACTTTGCTAACACCTATCTAGACAGATGGATGCTATAATGGTATCTGTCCTGACGTGAGTTTGTCCTGACGTGAGCTAACGTACTATGCATGCACAGCTGATGTCCAAGAGCTCATCAAATGCTGCTCAAGGAAAGCACATTGCCTTTCATCCACATTGTAACTATTGTTAGTGGGAGCAAGCCCAGACCATTTGAACGTCGCGTATCGTTTATTGTAATTACGTACTTGAAGTAGATGACACCCATGTCCGGGATATTACCATGGCCTTTGCCAATAACCCCTTGACTACAGTCAGTGGGATGATCTTATCTGTGGGTGATCTTGTGATCTCTACAGTATGTGTATTTGCTATGCATAGTTTGCAAGAGTTGTCGTTTCTATCAGCTGCAGGAATGCCTTCTCCAAGATTAGCTCTCTAGTCTCTACCCATTTGACTTGACATGATACTCAAAGACTTGAACACGAATGAAAGCGTGAGACGGCTCCTGATTAGATTGGTGCCGTTTCGTGGCGATTAATTTTAAACTTTTTTTCGTCTCGCCAATGCAATGTAATCACATCTTTCACGAGACAATGAGTCGTGCACCACTGCCAAAACAAAGCAAGCTCGACCTACCTCCTATTTTCCTCTTTTTGCCCATGATTTTCTCGGCTTCTGCTTTCGTCAAGTCGCCCGGCTTCAGCACAACTACGACAGGTCCCTCGTCATCACTCTTCTCATGATCGGAATCCACACATGGCTGGTCGCCTGCGAATTTATCCTGTACCGTTGGTCCCTCTTTGTAACCTGTCTGCTGCTTGAACTGCTGAAGAAACTTCGGCACAGCCTGGGGAATATACTGTAGGTTTCGGCCTCCACTCATTATCGTATTGTTTCTGCAGCACAGCTATATCTACCACTCCAACGCCACCGGTTCCCTGTATGGCCTGCCAAGCTCTTTCTCTGGTAACTTATGATAAAATATCTCACACTCTCTTTGGAAGGAAGCTCAGTTTTGCCTATGGAGAAAGCAGCGGACGAACTGCTCGAGTCACCCATCCAGGGAAAGTAACAATACTCTGTTTGAAGCAGTTGTGTAAATACATGTTATTATGATCATATCGATAGTTTTCAAGATTTTTTTCAGATTATTATTTTCTCCGCAAAGCACTACGTAATGTTTGACGTCATACATCTGATTTTGTTGTACACATGACATGTACAGCAGGGAGTAGTAAAATACAACTCCCTGCTGTACAGCATACCCCACTTGACAACCTCTTGTACAACGAACTCGCATAGCGAATTTCGTGATACTACATGTAATACTAGTAACAAGAGTACATAAACTAAGAAAGGGTTTGCTCCCCACACCGGAGCTCGCGCTATTCCGCCGACTTTACTTGACACTTGACTGACTCACGACTGCCATCCAGAGAAGGGTGTGGGGAGCAAACCCTTTCTTACAAATTATCGCCGAAGTCGCAACCACTACTTCGTAGTACATAAACTCTTGCTAGTAATCATAGCGAACCATTGTCCATGCCCCTGTCAAACCAGGGAGCCCTACACAGTATCAAGAGTACATAACCCGGGGGGGTTATCACTGTACTCTTGACAAACAATATGTGTAGGGCTTTGTAGCGAACAGATTCCGAACTATCTTGTAGGTCCGCATGTAAACCAAGTCCACTAATATAATACAGTCACGGACCACATGGCAGTCATTGTTTTCAAGAGTGGACTTCTTTTACTCTTGTTTCATCAAGTACTACTAGTACACACGCACCCTGCGCCCCAGAGTGTGCAACTCCCAACTCCACTGCTATACAGTGTGCAACTCCCAACTCCACTGCTATACAGTAGTAAAGCTGTAGAAGTACATTGTAAACTGGCCAATGACTCATTGACTATGTAAGTGTCACTGATAGAAAGGCAGAAAGGATGGCTCTGATTTTCTGCAACTAACTTGTGCCAGTTGTGGTGGCTGTGTGTGATTACTGTGCCGGACTACATGTCGCGGTGGTCTCCTAAAATCCTTTTTTTCTAAATTGCTACTGAAGTACACGTACGTCACTTTCTGGAATTTAATATTGATGATGTCATCAGTGGCATACATGTGTAGTAACTGGCCTTTCCCACCTGCTCCCAGTCCCGTGCCATCTCCACACTTATTCCAAGGGACGACGATAACTACATTTAGAAGACTGTTTATTGACACGAGGACGAAACACAACTAGACATGACGAACTCAAGACGAAGGCATGATGAACTCAAGACGAAGACTGCTTTTCATACCACAGCAACACGCGCATGCACCAACATAACGTACACACGACGTACACAAAATAACGTACTATATACGATATGGTAAATCTATCGATATACGGTACATACGGCATGATACGGTAGACAGTCCGTCTACTACAACATGTACCATGTGACCAAGTGATGATGATGTTGATGATGATGATGTGTGTGTGTGTGTGTGCATGGTGTGTGTTATTCTCTTTCTATCATGCAGCACTGGTGCGCTTTTACCCTATGCCAAGGAAGGAGCCGTCACCATGATGCATTTCTTGCGGTTCCTCATGAGACACGCACGCCATGGTCTGCAGCAGTCAATGCGCCGGTTGCGCAGCAGATGAAAGCCGAGGAGGGAGATCCGCTGCAGCGCTGCCTCTTCTACACACAATCAGGTACACTCATTTTCACGTGCGTACACGTCGAGCGCAATACAAATGTGCAGACTGGCAGACAATACACATGTGCAGACTGGCAGACAATACACATGTGCAGACTGGCAGACAATACACATGTGCAGACTGGCAGACGTGCACACACACACACCTACCGGCACATGAAAATAACAGCCAGCTCTCACTTTGTTTTTGCGTTCTGAGAGCCGTTCTCCCTTCCTATAAACTGACTGACTTTTCAGACTTCTTGACCTTACCCTGCTGTTGCGAACATTCTGCTTTTGCTGTCACTGCTGCTGCTGTTGTTCCTTTTTCAGGGAGCAAGTAATCATAGATAGTCATCAGGCCATTGCCATATGAACTGAGCTGAGCCCTTCAAGGATTTGTTTAATTTCCTCCCGGAAACTTTGTAGCATGTTGCGTGACCATTTCTAAAGGTCACTTGCAATTGGGCCATCAGCACTCTATACACAGCTTGTAGATATCATTGAGGTACGCCTTGCTCTGTAGCGACATGCTGGCATATATTTTATCCTTTATTTTAGCTCTATCTCTGCTGGTCAGAGGTGTGATACGCTCCTTAGTTTCCCAAGCTGTAGCACTCTCCACTTGTGAGCAAGGAGCAGTTATTGGGATTCGGCATTTCTTAGGATCATTCGGGACATGTGTTCTTTATCTTGGTGTCATACCTATTAAGTTTTTATTATGGCAATACCGGAACACGGAGGCATCCCACATTCAAATAAATAATAAACAAAATTCACGGTTTTCGGTAAGACTCAGTTAGACTAAGTTTTCCGCATTCGTAGGAATGCCGCCACCCTCCAGTATCAAGGTGCAGATGCAGCTCCTAAACTGTGACGGTGGGAGGTGAGTAGATCAGACCCACCACCAAGTAGTCAAAGGCCAAAATTCCTTTCGCTGTGTCCACGTTTCCCTCATAGCAGGCTACGAGTTTCCAATTAACTGTGGGTCACAGCGCGGCTGGAAAGCTCATTTCGCTTGTTAGCAGGACTTGAACCCGGTACCCTCTGTTTCTCAATCAGGTAGGCATAGACTGATAGTGGGGTGGTCTCTAAGACCATCCCACATTCTCTGTAGCGCGTGAGAGCAAGAGTCCGTTGTCTTGATAAGAGTACATACTACGTAGTCCATACCTGTACCTCACTGTGCAAGTCACACATGCAGTGCAGCTGCTGTCCCCACAGAATTTCTTATGATGCAATGCTCCTCGCGCAAGTGATGTTTGATGTTTGTACTGGGTGTAAACGCACCACGCATGTTTCCTTGCACTAGTTTGTACTTGAAGTACAGTATCATTATGGGGTTTTGTTTGCCACTGCTCCAGATACGGCTGATATGATCATTAGTATACTCTTTGCATCGTAACAAAAAATGGCTTCAACTTCAAAATTCTGTCAGGACCAGGGAGCCCTACACATACAATGTATGTAGGTAGGTATGTGTTAGGCATCCTGGTCGGGACAGCAATCACAGCACTGATACCATGGGTACTTGTAGGTGAGTTGCACAGTGCTGTGGGCTATGTACTCTTCGTACTACATACATGTACTACTGTCTGATGGCCCATGCAGACCATAAAGAGATGCCAAAGAGATAGCCATGAAGAGGCAGTGAATTGGAGTACCCAAATATGGATGGAATGTGTATTTTTTTTAGGTACAAACTACAATGTCATAATACTACCAGGGAGTTCTACACAACTCCCTAGCCCTGGTAGTGCCAAGAGTAATTTAGCTACTACAAATTTATTTCTCTGGTACTACCAAGAGCATGTGTACTCTATAAACTCCCGGCCAGGGGAGCTTAGTATTTTTCAAAACGAAGTGTCTGATTGAAATCAACATTTTGTTGGACTGCGTTTTACCTACAGAAAGGGTGGGGGTGGAAAATACTAAAACTTTTCGTTTCGCAAAAACAGTCGGTAATCCCGGACAGCCCCTTAGATTTACCCTTGCAGTTGTTGGTACATTGTACTGCTGTAGTGTCTGTACTAGTGTACGGCAATGTAGAGTCAATTCCCGATGGCATCACCTGGATAGAGCATAGGCAAGAGTCCATAACCCAAGAGTATGCAACTGTGATGATGGGTGCATGCGTGGCGCGCTGCCTTCATTACGTAACTTGCCTTCATCACGCTCTGAAAGCATGCATTCAAACTCTCAATTTCTCGCACGAGCCCATCCGTTTTTGCTCGATTCGTTCCAGTACCTACACAATCTCTGAATTCTGGCGCGTGAACTCCAGTTCCGTACGAAAGTTCATTTCAAACTAGAGGGAAAGTGCGGTGTTTGATTTTCCGCAGTGCGCGGACTGCAGCTGAATGATGTAATGAAGGCAGCGCGCCGCGCGGTTGGCCCATAGAAAAGAGATCACGGTTGCATACTCTTGGGTTATGGACTCTTGGCATAGGTAGTAGCAAGAGTAGATAAACAAGAGTGTGCAACTCCGGATGGATTGGCCCACGGCGGAATTTTTTGTTGACGTAATCTTTTCGACGACGCACGCGCTGCGAGCCTTTTGGAGAGTTTTCCCTCGTGCACTTGGCTGGGCTTTACACTACAAGGTCGGTGCCCAGCACGTGCTCTCACACTGCTCTGCGGCAAAGCCGCGTTTCTCTGAAAAAAGGTGACGTAAACAAAAAATTCCGCCGTGGGCGCGGGGTATCTGCAGATTGTGCAGGAGAGATCCGGAGTTGCACACTCTTGTTTATCTACTCTTGGTAGTAGCAAGAGTAGATAAACAAGAGTGTGCAACTCCGGATCTCTCCTGCACAATCTGCAGATACCGCGCGCCCACGGCGGAATTTTTTGTTTACGTCACCTTTTTTCAGAGAAACGCGGCTTTGCCGCAGAGCAGTGTGAGAGCACGTGCTGGGCACCGACCTTGTAGTGTAAAGCCCAGCCAAGTGCACGAGGGAAAACTCTCCAAAAGGCTCGCAGCGCGTGCGTCGTCGAAAAGATTACGTCAACAAAAAATTCCGCCGTGGGCCAATCCATCCGGAGTTGCACACTCTTGTTTATCTACTCTTGGTAGTAGCCATTACCGAGAGATGCTACAAAATTACACCGTGACTACAACTACAGTCCATTCAGAAAAAAATGAACTTCTAGCTTTTGGCCATAAATGGGTCAAACGTTGAGTTTTTTTAGAATTTTTTTCTGCAATCCCATATGGAATCCTCTTCCAATTATGTTTCTGAAGTTTTTTTGTCCAAAAAGCAAGCCATAGCAAGAATAGGATTTCGGCCAGGTTTTGCCCCAAAAGAACTGAATTGGGAAAAACCATCAAAATCCAGGCCGTTTGACCCCGCCTGCAACAGTGCATTCTGTGGTTCGAACCCCAGTTCAGGCACCCTTTTTGGACCCTTTTCAAATTTCAAAGTTCGCAGCACTGCACTGTGTACGATGAAATCACGAAAAATCGCCAAATACGGGAGCTCGCCAGAGCCAGGACCCATTTTTTTATGAATGGACTGTACAATGAAGAATGAACAATTGGCATCGTGTGCTGCCTCTAACCTACCCACATGTAGTAACTGTTACCTGAGCACGTCTGTTTACATACAGAGAGCATGGTTGGTGAAGAAACTGCACGCGGCGTGCTAATAGCCAACTTGCCCTGGCAAATCAATCGAGACGGTCATATCTGACGGTATTTCACCACACAGCACATGTTACACACGGAAAGTTGGCACATGTTATACGCTGTTGCCTGCATGGCGAGTGCTTGGCGCTAAACCAGAACAGTGGTTGCCCCCACTACCATAATAAGTTCTCCCTTCATTATAATTTAAGCACAGTTTAGCGCGTATTGGCTTATGATTTCTTTTTCTTCTGTTTGTATTTAGCGCTTGACCGGTTATTATTTTCCTTCTCTTTATTTTGCGCTACATATTATTATTTTTCTGGTAATAATCGCATAGTTCAAAAGTCCAAAAAAATAAATAAACGTCAAAAAAAAACTACCATAATAAGTACACAATCAGTCAAGTACATAAACCAGTTTACACAGCCACATTAGTAGGAGCTTTTCATGTTCTTTTTCTTAAACTTTTAAATGTTTTATCTAAACCGGTAGTAATCATGGCAGAAGAGAATAGAGGATGACTGAATAAAGTAACCTCAGCCATGATCAACGGATGGATTGTGAAGCGACAGATGAAAAAAAGTTGTCACCGAGGAGCAAGGAGGAAACAATGCTATCATAAAATAGGGGGAAATTTAAAGCATGAATTTTGTACGTTTACTAGTAATATCTTTGTCCTGTCCCAGAGGGATTGAAATAGTAATACAAAGAGTTTAAAAAAATTGACGCAAATCCGGCCAACAGAATCTAGGAAGACTGATCGGTACATCTGCAACCAAACGAGCAGATAGGACCAGAATCATCGCATCTTGAATGTGCCCAACATGTTCCAAGTCTTTTCGACAAGAAGCATTAAGGAGAAAGCAGAATTTTAAGTGTTCTAAATGGGGTAATAGCTGCTGCTTGGTCAGACTATATTTGATGAATTACAGGTTTTGAAAATTGTGACAACTAAAAACAGAGGGGATAAAAAAACTAAACTATTTCCTATAGTGATTATAAAGTTCAAAAGAAAGGAATTATTTCCTTCCGGCCACACTCACATGTAAATACACAGATCTATACATGAGTAAGAAATATGACAGAGCAATCAAAGTGATTTACTAGCTTGACAAGCGTAGCTGACTTGACTTGCAGCCATCAGGCCTCCGCCTCGCATTGATCCACCAGAAGAACGTGTAGGCGTTGAAGGTGCTGGAACTGGTTGGGGCTAGGACCGTGCACTTTAACCACTTGCGTTATCAGCAATTGCATCCATCAAGTTACCGCCACTAAAGGGAGCTGGCTTCTTGGCAGGTGCAGCCTTCACCTTGGTTATGCCACCTGGCCCAGGTGGTGGAGGCGGAGGTGGCGGGCCACCAGCCGCTCAAGGGGCAGGTGGCGGTGGAGGGGGTCCACCACCTGATGCAGGTGGTGGCGGAGGCGGCGGTGGGGGTCCACCACCAGCTGCAGGTGGTGGCGGAGGTGGCGGTGGCCCTCCTCCTGCTGCAGGTGGCGGCGGGGGCGGTGGCGGCCCCCCAGCTGCTGCTGGTGCAGGTGGTGCAGGGGTGGGTGCAGGTGCTGCCTTTGGGGCACTTGCCACAGGTGAAGTGCTCTCTTGTGCTGCTGTGAGGGACAATCAATCAAAGAACACATTGCTCGTGAGTACCAATAAACCTAATAATTATAATAATATTCGCGGGATCCGCGTTGGCATCGCTTGAATGTTCAGAAACACACACACTAGCCCTCGCATCCGCAGCCCACCACTATGCCTGCTCACCTTAGTGGCGAATGCAGACCTCACAAGTGAGTCAGGGGGAGAGGAGGTTAGTCTCTCAACCAATCGGGCGTGTAACAGCCCATAACCCTGTAAACTGCATCCTTGTTATTCTCACTCCGAGCTGTGAGTACCCAGTTGACCGTGGGTGTCGGCGCAGTTCAACACGCGTAAAAAGTATTTTTACATGCTCCCTGCTACCAGTGTGGGTCTTGAACTCGGGACCTCATGATTCGCAGGCAGGCCTGCAAACCAATCGGCCATATGCGTTGGTCCAGTACCAATAACATGCTGTGGAATATTATCATCTAGAGACGGTTGCGTACATGTACAAGCATATCTTCCAGTTATGTACTGCAACCAAGTTATGGCTTCGGTCCCAAGAGACCCCTCCCCATTTACGAATCAGTATTGGGCTCAAGAGTGCAGTACAACAGCGGCCCCGGATCTCATTACATCTCACAACATGATTCCACACTACTAAGGTATTATTAAACAGCGAGGCAATACAAAAAAAGAACAACACACCATGTCAGGATAGCACCTAGAAGCTGTGCGAGTGGGTCCCACAGTACAGTATAGGAATTAATATTTGCTGGAGAAACCTTTCGTTGTAAAGCGATTTGGGATATTCCATTTTGAAGTGTGTTTTAACCCATTCGGCGCTAAAGACGTATATATACGTCATTGAAAATGACCCCTAGGCGATGGGGACATATGTGTCTTTTTCAATGCCAAATAAGGAGTGCAGAGCCTGGGTGCCTTGACCTGTAGCCTTAAATGGGTTAACTAATAGGGCTTGAAAGTGATTACGCCAACCAACTTGCTGTAACACTTTTTTTTGTTACAAATATCAAAACACTTTTATACTTCGAACTCAGAAGTAGCGACAAACTCGGCCATTTGGAAATAATTTGACCTGTCCACCTCTCCATACTGCGCTCTTGGCCCATAATTCTGCTATTCATTCGTTATCCAAGAACGAATTTCCTCGCTATAGAGTATGGTGTTGTGAATGTGGGCCAAGAGCGCAGTGTGGAGAGAGGTGGACAGTTCAAACTAAAATTCTATGCTATTAAAACTGCGCGGGTACATGCTGGATAAAAGCAAAAAGCTGCTCTGCATGTACTTACGTCCATTGCTTGCTGCTCTTCTCTTTGCAGATGCGGCAATAGCGTCCATTAAACTTCCTGGCTTTCCTCCGCTACTTCCACCACTGCTGCGTGTTGGTGCAGGCTTCGGCGCTGGTTTGATATCTTCAGGAAGCTCTTCACCTGACTTTTCTGCACGTCTGCGAGCTGATGCTGCTATTGCATCCATCAAACTGCCACCACCCTTGCTGGGAGCAGGCTTCTTTGCCGCTGGTGCAGCTGCTGCTTTTTTCTTTGGCAATCCCCCAGCACCAGGTGGTGGTGGAGGGGGAGGTGGACCACCAGCCGCTCCAAGTGGTGGTGGCGGTGGAGGTGGACCTCCACCGGCTGCAGGTGGTGGTGGTGGAGGAGGAGGGCCTCCTCCTGCCGCAGGTGGTGGTGGTGGAGGAGGAGGGCCTCCACTGGCTGCAGGAGGCGGTGGTGGTGGAGGTGGGCCGCCACCTGTTGCAGGAGGTGGTGGTGGTGGTGGAGGCGGACCTCCTCCTGTTGCAGGTGCTGGAGGGGGCGGCGGAGGACCACCAGTTGCAGATGGTGGAGGCGGAGGGCCTTTTGCTGCCACTGGTGCCGGCGGAGGTGGTTTAGATGCTGACGATGACGACGATGCCTCTTCTGGAGCTAGTAAAGAAGACAGCAGCAACAACAGTAGGAACAACAATAATCAATGCAATGGAAATGTATATCTGATGTAGTAGAAGAGCATGGCACACTACAGATCACTATGAAACTATAATTGTAATGTTGTGTTGGGGAGACCACAACGCCCATCGCTACATTCGTTCTTGGCTACTACTGTGCAACGCATGTCGTGCATGTACAGTGGATCCTCGCTAAACAAACTGCCTCGCCAATCCGACAACGCTTGCTCGGTTCCGAATTTTCCTACATAGTCATTTCAGAAATCAGATCACCTGGGAAAATCAGACCACTCTGCCCGGTCTGAAAGGTGGTCGGAAGTCTAAGGTTCGAATATTCTTGAAGTACATGATCAGTTGTCTGATGATTGCCTAGCGGCATGAAACTCAGAGTTACAACCAACCTGAACGTCCTCCGCTGAGTCTGCTATGTGCGAAGTACATGTACATGTATTTAGCAGTGCGGAGTAGGACAGACTGCCGGTATTACCAAGAGTACATAAACCAGAGTGTGCAACTCAGAGTGGTTCCTGTGCGAGCGTAATCCGTGCAGTACGTCATTTCTGACGGCATGGTAAGTCACGGGTACGGTGAAAAGTTGCGTAACCAGTTACAGTGGGTGGTGCAGGTCACTGAGTTTGTCCTGATTTCGTTTTTTTATACGGATAGCCTGGTGAATTTACTTGCCAGCGGGTGGATGCAGCGTACGCAGTCACACGAAAACACCGAAATCCTAAAACAGGACGTCTAAAATCATGCAAACTTGGCTGATTTCCGGGCTGTGAAACACGAAAATTAAACTATTGGAGCTGTATGCAAGCCGCGGCTTGGCTGACCTCATCAGGGTGACGCAGTGCATGAACTGCGCTGTTTCAGATCTGATATGCACAGTTGCACACTCTGGTTTATGTACTCTTGGTATTACGGTAATTCAAAAAAAGAGAGAAGAGAAAAGAATACCCAGTATGCTGTGGAAACAGCTGATATTGTAAAATGGCTAATTTTAGCGCCGGTGAGATTTTACCGATTTTAGCGAAAGGAGAGTTTTCGGTAAAGTTGCGAATCCAAAAATTTGCATGTACAGTACAGAACTACTTGTCATAGTCACCTTTTGTTGAACTCTGAAACTTGGATAGCTAAAATATTTCATCATGAGTTGGCACCGATTCAGAAAACGCTAAAATAATTACCTGCTATAAAAAAAAAAGCCGTTCTACAGCACTAGTATACCTCAGTACTACATGCTGGATAAAAGCAAAGCTGCTCTGCATGTACTTACGTCCATTGCTTGCTGCTCTTCTCTTTGCAGATGCGGCAATAGCGTCCATTAAACTTCCTGGCTTTCCTCCGCTACTTCCACCACTGCTGCGTGTTGGTGCAGGCTTCGGCGCTGGTTTGATATCTTCAGGAAGCTCTTCACCTGACTTTTCTGCACGTCTGCGAGCTGATGCTGCTATTGCATCCATCAAACTGCCACCACCCTTGCTGGGAGCAGGCTTCTTTGCCGCTGGTGCAGCTGCTGCTTTTTTCTTTGGCAATCCCCCAGCACCAGGTGGTGGTGGAGGGGGTGGCGGACCACCCGCTGCTCCAGGTGGTGGTGGCGGTGGAGGTGGACCTCCACCTGCTGCAGGTGGTGGTGGCGGTGGAGGTGGACCTCCACCGGCTGCAGGTGATGGTGGTGGAGGAGGAGGGCCTCCTCCTGCCGCAGGTGGTGGCGGGGGTGCTGGAGGACCACCAGTTGCAGGTGGTGGCGGGGGTGCTGGAGGACCACCAGTTGCAGGTGGTGGAGGAGGGGCTGGAGGACCACCTGTTGCAGGTGGTGGAGGAGGGGCTGGAGGACCACCTGTTGCAGGTGGTGGAGGAGGGGCCGGAGGACCACCTGTTGCAGGTGGTGGAGGAGGGGCTGGAGGACCACCTGTTGCAGGTGGTGGAGGAGGGGCCAGAGGACCACCTGTTGCCGGTGGTGGAGGAGGGGCCGGAGGACCACCTGTTGCAGGTGGTGGTGGAGGGGCTGGTGGACCACCCGCTGCAGGTGGTGGAGGAGGGGCCGGAGGACCACCTGTTGCAGGTGGTGGAGGAGGGGCCGGAGGACCGCCCGTTGCAGGTGGTGGAGGAGGGGCTGGAGGACCACCTGTTGCCGGTGGTGGAGGAGGGGCTGGAGGACTACCTGTTGCAGGTGGTGGAGGAGGGGCTGGAGGACCACCTGTTGCGGGTGGTGGAGGCGGTGCTGGAGGACCACCCGCTGTGGCTGTTGATTGCGCAGCACTGGCTTTCACGGGTGAATTCGCCGGGGAATCAACAGGGGTCTGTTTTGTAGGGGCAGAGGATTTGTTGACAGCTGAGTATGCATGTGTGGCAGATGCAAATTCTGAGTGGAAGAGCACATAGACACGCAGAAGAAAGGAAAGATGACAATGTATGAGAGTATGAACTGCACAATCGTCGATGTTGCCAGCACAGTACTCATATGAAGCCATCACCCTTTAACAGCACAAACACAGGCCCAACACATTACTATACGACCGCCCCAAGATCAAGTGGAACACAAGAGCAGATGCCATTGACCACCGCTATACAAAGCAGTGCATGGCCCTTGACCAGAAGAGCCAACTAAAACTAGACAATGGGAAATGTACAAGAAGTGGGCAGAGCCATTTGGTATAAAAGCATAATCAAGAGTGTGCAACCTTGATTTTGAGCTACGATGGGTTCATCCACGGCGGATTCTTTTCGATGGGCCATTCTTTGGCAGAAGTATGATCAAGTGTGTATGGCTTCTCACGCTTGTTTTGTAGATATGGTGCCACTTCATCGGGTTCAGGACACATGGATCTACCATTCATTGTTGTGCCTCATTTAGCGTAGCTGTGATGCACATGTACTTTGATCTCCAGCTACTCACAATGGCATCAGTGAGTCCCATGCATGGCCACGTAAGACTGTCGCCGTAAAACAATTCTGCCGTGGGCTGGGGGATCGTCGGGTTGCATACTCTTGGCTATGTGCTCTTGATATTATCAAGGGTCTGTAACCAAGAGTGCGCAACTGAGAATGTGGTCAATGCGCGGCATGCCCCTTTCACTACACAACTTTCTAAAATTTCTGAAATTTGAGTACATATCAGGGTTTTGTTGTACTTACCCGGAATTGCTTCTGGAACAACAGGAGAGGCTGCTGTGGCAGACGATGATGAGGTTGCAGGGGAGCTAGCTCCAACATTAATTGACTCTGAAGATGGGCTGTTCTTGGAGGCTAAGCTGGTGCGGCGGTCAACCGAATATGACGAACACACGGCGTCACTAGGGCGACGTCCTGAAGGTACTGGAGGTGGCACGACTCCTGGCTGTATACCATTACACTCCATCGCCTCTTCGTCGACAGTCATAGGCCGGATATCGGCCATCTGAGCAGCGCTGGAGTGGCGACGTGCATCAGCAAGTGATGAGCTTTTCGGCATACAAACTGACATAGACCGTGGTACTGCCACGGTGGGAATGCTAATAGTACTAGGCTCCCAAACGAGTGGTTCTACCGTCACAGTGGATGGTGCTGAATCGATTGACTGCAAGCGCAATGCACTGAGCACGCGCTGCGAGGCTGCTGGTAGACCGTTGTCATCGACCATAGTCTCATGTCCAGCTGCATCACTCAACGCCAGTGTATTGCGCCATTCAGAGATTAGAGGGCGACCTGCGTCTGGCTTTGATTCCAAGTTGTCCTTGGCAGTTGTTATCAGTTTTGCCAGGGAGTCCGGATCAGCACCATAAGTTACCATGCAGGATATCTTTTGAAGCACTTGACTTTGGAACATGACATGATCTCCAGGTGGCATCTGAATGTCCAGAAGCGTTTGCGTCAGAACCTGCGGAACTACTTTCCCCAGGCTTGACATCAGTGTCAACAGGGCACGGAATTCAGCTGCAGGCCGCAAGCCACCAAAGAAGAACCGCGGCAAAGCCTTGGACGGCAGGTAAGAACGCACGATTTCCTCCCAAACTTCATCGGTTAGTGCTTCACATGACGATGGCTCGTCATTTTCTTCGTCAGAATCTCCCCAGCCATCGACGGAGACCACGCGGCCCACGCCGCCACTGGAATCCAACGCTAAAACACGCAATAGCTGAACGCCGTAGTTGCACGCAAAGCGTGCACTCAGGCGTGAGCCACGCACGTGCAGCAGCACAGCTTCGTTGACGTTGCCGGACACTGCCGCAACCTCAGCCGCCGACATCTCCACTTCCATGCGGTGCATGGTGTTGTTGATGCGCCGGATCCAAGTCAGCCTCATCATTTCAGTTGCCCGGGCACCGGCTTGTATCATTAGCTTTAGTACAGCCATAGCACCTTTCCACGCAGCTAAATGCAGTGGCATGATGTTGTGGGTCATCATACAGCCCTCACACTCTTTGACATCAACAAGCTCTGTGTCATTGCTTGTGTTGATTGGAAATCCCATTTCCAACAGCACAGCCATCATCTCAGGAACTCCAAACGCTGCAGCATGATGTAGAAGAGTGTAACCATCTGCGTCAGGTGTACACAAAACACTTAGGCCTCTAGCTGCAGCCCGCCGCAGACCAGGGATGTCCTTCTTCACCAACGTGTCAAATAAGACACTGAAGCCTCGCGACTTTGGATGGACAGACTTCTGGAATGCCGCCACATATGGACGGACGTTCTTCGTCCTGTCGCCTTTCCATTTCACACCTTCACCTGGGCGCTCTTTCTCCGAAGATGGTTCTGCAGCTGGCACGCTAGGCAGGTCTCTACTATCGGTTACTGAATCTTTTGTTCCTGTCTTACGAAAGCTTCTTCGAATGGATCCGCGGATACCAGGCCTCTTCCGTAGTTCTGCTTCTGCGTTCAACATCTTGAGCACTCAATTCTCATCTTGAGACAAGAGATTTTGATCATGAACACCGGAAAGTGGGAGGTAGTGAATAAAATCTATGAAAGTATTAGTCATAAACCACAAACTGCATGCTGTCAAAACAACAAGTCTTGTTCAGCAAAGCACAAATTCGGACGGCCAAGAAACCACCAAGCGAACAAATGCCAACGGTTTCAAGTAGTTCGTGGAGAGGAGCTTGCACTGACTGTACTGTACACTCAAGTTTAGTGCAGCATGTGGCTTGGCTTTGTCAGGCCGCAGAAACACGGACCGCAGACACAGGATCCGAGTAGTAAAGCACCGGTATTTTCCTACTCCGCGCCAGAGCTGGGCCAGCTTGACTGACCTGTACGCACTGGTACGTGGTGGTATGCAGTACTACCCTTGTACTCAGTTGTAGTACTGTATGTGAAGACCATGCCACCGTATACAGCTACGTTGACAAAAGAGTAGGTCTACGCCATGTACATTCGCTGCAATGCCATGCAAGGATCAATGCAGAACTTGGGGCCATGAAAACCAGCCGCTAGCTGGTGTAAGTACCTGGAAGCACACACGCACCACATACACACACGCGCGCACACACACATGCGTGCACGCACATACACACACACACATGCGCATACACACACACACACACACACACACACACACACACACACACACACACACACACACACACACACACACACACACACACACACACACACACACACACACACACACACACACACACACACACACACACACACACACACACACACACACACACACACACACACACACACACACACACACACACACACACACACACACACACACACACACACACACACACACACACACACACACACACACACACACACACACACACACACACACACACACACACACACACACACACACACACACACACACACACACACACACACACACACACACACACACACACACACACACACACACACACACACACACACACACACACACACACACACACACACACACACACACACACACACACACACACACACACACACACACACACACACACACACACACACACACACACACACACACACACACACACACACACACACACACACACACACACACACACACACACACACACACACACACACACACACACACACACACACACACACACACACACACACACACACACACACACACACACACACACACACACACACACACACACACACACACACACACACACACACACACACACACACACACACACACACACACACACACACACACACACACACACACACACACACACACACACACACACACACACACACACACACACACACACACACACACACACACACACACACACACACACACACACACACACACACACACACACACACACACACACACACACACACACACACACACACACACACACACACACACACACACACACACACACACACACACACACACACACACACACACACACACACACACACACACACACACACACACACACACACACACACACACACACACACACACACACACACACACACACACACACACACACACACACACACACACACACACACACACACACACACACACACACACACACACACACACACACACACACACACACACACACACACACACACACACACACACACACACACACACACACACACACACACACACACACACACACACACACACACACACACACACACACACACACACACACACACACACACACACACACACACACACACACACACACACACACACACACACACACACACACACACACACACACACACACACACACACACACACACACACACACACACACACACACACACACACACACACACACACACACACACACACACACACACACACACACACACACACACACACACACACACACACACACACACACACACACACACACACACACACACACACACACACACACACACACACACACACACACACACACACACACACACACACACACACACACACACACACACACACACACACACACACACACACACACACACACACACACCATGTACACACCATGTACACACACACACACACACACACACACACACACACACACACACACACACACACACACACACACACACACACACACACACACACCATTGGACCATTGGACCATTGGACCATTGGACGCCCATCGCCGAAGGCGATGATAGCGATGCTACAGCAGAAGCCGTAGCAGCTTGTGCTGGGATTGCACCATTCAACAACTTGCAAGGCTGAAGAATTGACCGCCACTATTCAGCCTGGTCTACACCACACAGCTATGAAGTGGCTTTTTCTGGCCAGTGAATCCCTACTTTTTGGTCTTTTTCATTTTACACACACACACACACACACACACACACACACACACACACACACACACACACACACACACACACACACACCTTGTGAAACTGCGTAGCCATGATAGTACATTGCTATTGTACACGTTATTTCTCTTCCGGGCTGCATTTAATATACGAGTACCATTCAGACTCTGGTACATGGTATTGATGGCTCGACTGACTCAAAGTCATCTGCAATGAGATCCCTCCTCCGCTGCAGGTCATGTGCAAGTTGTGGGGCAGGCAGTTTCCCAACAAAAGAGAACACACTTCGGCGGACGATGATGTCACAGGTCTCCCTTTGCTGACACCGCAACACTTTGACGATAGTTCTGACGGCACTGGTGGTGGAAGATGTTGAGATGCCATACTGGTAGGTTTGAACTTGAAGACTTCACCCCCCCCCCCCACACACACACACCTGGGTCATTTGACTCATTAATTTTGTGAGCATTACTTGTGGAGAGATACGATGCACTGGACACGAACGGATGTATCTGCTGCAGACTCAGGTCCACACATGAACAAGTTTGTTGCACATTGAAATTACGCACTCCACATGAACTTGAACTCGTCTATCTGCGTACTCATATCCAGTGTCCACACATTACATAACTGCATTTGGTGGCATTTATTTTCTGCAATGGCTGCCTTTCACCTGCAACTGGCCTCCCCTATCAGAGCTGCAGATCGTCGTTTCCTGTGTGACAAAACCTTCCATTATGGCCCCAAGGTTCACACGGTCCCCGAGATAGAGAAGTTCCCAACGCCTGCTCGGCTGCTGTCAATCCTAAGCCATGTGTGGACTTGCAGCAGCAAGCACAGACCTCCATGCTGTAAAGCATGGGAGGATGCAGTGGAAATCCTCTGGTGATGGAACAGTTGTGTATGGTGAATCAGTAGTTGACACAGGTTGCCAAGTGACATTCGGGCCGAGTTGACGCTGAGAGGAGTCGTAAGGGCACAGGGCACTTGTAAATCACCAGTTCTCCGGCACTACGAAACTGGCGCTCCTGTGCTCGCTTACACACACGCACACACACACACACACACACACACACACACACACACACACACACACACACACACCGCTCTTACTCATATACATGCTTGCATTCCTTCGAGCATTTCACAATCTTGAATATATCGGTTACTATCACTATTGAAGAAGGCAAAACAAGGTGGTAAACAGTGGCTGTGTAGCACCACCGACTGTAAAACAATATAAGTAAGACTTCGTGTAAAAAATATGTAAAAACACACAAAACAGGAATTGGCAATAGGAAAAATGCAGAGTAAAACAAGGAAGGTGAAACCAGGGGGAAAATATACGTCTGCAGCCAGAGTTGTGCACAACACACATCACAAAACTGCACAGGGAGAAAAATGGGTTTCTGAAAAGGCAGTTGTCCGGAGATCGAGCATGTAAAAGAACAGGCATTTGTAAATACTACGTCTGGAACAGAGTTAGAACCATCATCTGATTGCAAATCACATACTAGAGTGCTGCTGATCAGCTTGCAAACGTCCGAATGCAGTCAGTGTAGATAGGGATGGTAGAGATCACACAGTACGAATAGCACAACATCTTACCAGTGCTGCAGTGATCATGACGACAGACCAGTGCTTACATGCCGCCAATGACTCCCTGCATGAAGGCATCATACGGGAACGTGGCATTGCCCGTTTGCGTTGTGTCGTAGCGGCGGAAGAAGTTCGTCATGGATGTCACACGCACGCAGCACAGGACAAAGTTGTCAAAGTCAATCTCACCGCGTGGCGGCCTTCCATAGCGCTTGCTCATGGCGGATAGAGTTCCTGGCGAGAAATTGTAACCAAATCCCGTCAGCGCTCTTCCAAGCTCACTGGAATCGATGCTACCGGAGTGATTAGCATCGATACCTTGGAACACTCCACGCCACTGAGCAAGTACAGTAGTGAGCTCCTTAAATTCGGAGAATCCCATGAAGCCACTGTAGTCACGATCCAACATGGCAATCATCACACGGCATGTCTCCACGCTGAATGGCGCTGGGACAGCATGGCCAGTCCTGGTTAGCAAATCACGCAGTTGTTCTGGTCCAATCTGTGCGGCAGGACCAGCAACTCCACTGAACTGGGCCCACATTGGATCTGCTCCAGGCCCAGGGGGAGCCGCACCGTAGGGCGCACCCGGTGCTTGCCCATAAGCCAGATTTGGTGGTTGACCATACGCCATGCTTGTTGCTGATGATGCGACCGGTGGTGGGGCCTGCACGCCAAGACTGACACCTGCAATTCCAGCGGTGATACCGGCACTGGCGAATGGAGCTGCCACGGGAACACCGACGACAGGCACAGCTGGTACTCCAGGGATTACGTGAACTTTACCTTTCTTGGCAGCCTTCTTCTGCTTCTTCAATAATTTCTTCTGCTTCTTGCTTGAATGAGCACCAGCAGCAAAACCGGCCAATCCACCGACACCTACAGCAGCAATTCCAAGGGCAGCCCCTGCGAAGAAATCGTCGTCACTATCACTACTTGAGCTACTACTTGAGCTACTGGAACTGCTGGAATACGGCATTTGGACAAATTCCGATAAATCGATACTGTACCAGGGACTCGACTACACGCAATACGCCACGTGTTTCTACTGCAGAAGGATGGATCACTACAGGTCGCGGCCCTCCCTGATATCGATACTGCAAAGTGGAGAAAACTTTCCGGACTTCAGTTCAGATCTAGCTCTACATAGATGACGTGTTGGTACGAGATACACGAAGTACTTGTGTAGCTAGCTGTGGGTCTATACGAGTACGAGGCCCTCGTGTCAAAAATCTTATCTGTCCATGTACACAGATACAGTACATGCGCATATGCATGCATGCAGCTGACACTGCATGCAAAAAGCTGTTCCTGGCGTAAAACTGGACTGTGGAAAAAAGAGACTCGACTGATGAGCTAGCTGTACAAGTAGTGTAGCTATCAGACAACAATTAGTTACAGCTGAGAACCACCTGCTTCGATATCTTGCTTCACTTCAACTGTCTTCAGTCAGCCTAGAAAATACTAATGCCGTAATGGCACTAAAAAAGATGCCCAGTAGTGGCAGTACATGAAAACAAGCTCTGTCGCAAATGTCAGTCTCTTGGATTTCGATGCAAAGGTTTGAACTGAAGCAGCTTGCAGCTTTATCTTTTGTCTGACTTATGAAGTTATGTCAGAGTTCAGTTTAGCTGGAATGATGCATCCTTGATGTCGTGTGCAGGACACGGACCCCGTGCGTGAAAGCTGAAGTCTGTCTAGTGAAGACAAAGCAGCTTCATTGAATATTGACACAGCAAGCCGAAAATACTCGCACTACAGTAGTACAAGACAATCTAGACTTCCCTTCTATTCTACCTCCCTGCCGCGCTGAGTCGCTGGATCATGGACTTGGCAGGATCTACACTACAGTACAGGAGCTGGATCTCTACACACTTCTGAAGTTCTGTTCATAACTGACCCGATAAGCTCTCGATCTCCTTTTTATTTCCTTTTGCTTTTTTTGTTTGTTGTTTATGCACTCTTCAGTTCGTTTTCTTTGTATTTAACTCCTCATTGTTTTGTTTTTTTACCAGGCGTGGGCCATCCCCTGACTTCATAGGTGCCAAACTGTACCAAGAGTAGACCCAGGTGCTCGAAGTCCGACATGGTATCCTAAGTTCGTAGATCTACGCCCATAATTTCATGTTCTGTTATTGTATTCGACTCAAATATTTTATGGAGGGGACAGTGCAGTGTGCATGTGGTATGTTCTCCTCGCGTACCAATTTTCAGGGATCTACGATAAGGCCACCCTTTCTTTTTTCGTTGTTTAACGTCCGCGCCCGCGTACCTACAGTTATAGTACCTTTTTGCCTCCGACTGGAAAAAAACAAGAAAGTAGTAGTACCAATAATATGCGAAGTTGTAAATACACTAGCAGCACCCCCGGCCAGCGTTGCCTGGCCGAATGTCACATTATGTGGCATTCGGGTGAAGCAAGTACATGAACAGCACACGTGCTCAGCACGTGGTGGTGGCCAGACCGCTGAAGTCCTGGTGAGGGAGGCTCGAGGTTCTTCATCGTTGGAAGGAGAAGGAGGGACGTCTGTTACGCCTTCGGGAGGCTGGTCAGGGTTGTCCATCACCTGGTGGCGGATGAAGCGGCTCAAAAAATTCATAAACTTACGAACAAAAGTGCGATGCGCTCTTCACTGCAGATTAGATGCAGAGTGCAGTCAGTGCAGATCTTTTGTATCCTTTTGTTGCAGATGTTTCTATTTGCAGAGAACGGTTCACGTGGTCCGCAGCGCTTGTGCGGCTGATATAATACTAATTACCCATATAAAAACCGCTCTGTGAGCGGTTCTGAAAAACCTCTACTGGTGCAGCCCCGTCGTAAAAGTAAGAAATTAGAACTGGCGCATTGTCCTCCCAAATGTGAACTGATCCACCTAAATCGCGATTGACGGGACCCGAACGCACCAGTAGCACGAGGTTCCTACCTGTGGATGCAGCTGGGGACGCTGGTCCATAGCCAAAGCCAAAGCGGCAAAGGTGGGCTTCGGGGTAGGTCTACGTACTGTACACTGCTGTAAGTGTTGTATGGTAACTTGATCAGCGCCGACGCCGGCTGTGATCTTGTGCCCTCCCGACCTCGTGCTACTGGTGCGTTCGGGTCCCGTCAATCGCGATTTAGGTGGATCAGTTCACATTTGGGAGGACAATGCGCCAGTTCTAATTTCTTACTTTTACGACGGGGCTGCACCAGTAGAGGTTTTTCAGAACCGCTCACAGAGCGGTTTTTATATGGGTAATTTCAGTTCTTTTTCTGTTCCCTCCCCCATACCGGCCCTGCTCCGAAGATAAACAATGTTTATCTTCATGGTGAGCACGCGCGTGATCCACTGTATGTAGCCATGCGACTGCAGTAGCACACTGATACATTCCAGCCCTCCCTGCACACAGACACATTGTGACAAACACGCACATGCACATGGCACACACGGGCACGCACGCACACACACACACACACACACACACACACAATGTACCATGTATACGCCCGTCGCAAGAGAAGCACGCAAATCTGCAAATGCACTGGATGTGCACCCACAGATTTTCTCTTTATAGCAACGATAGCGGATCTGATTCTGATTGAAACAGATCAAGACAAGCGCCAGATAACTGTCTAATCCACACAACTGGCGAAGCCTTGCACACACACACACACACACACACACACACACGACCCAAACAGGAAATTCTTGATGAACATTGTATAATGCCATGCAAAGCAGTAGCCACCATACTTCAGGAAGTCAGTTGTGAAACAAAAATAATTCAACTACAATGTGTAGGTAAGCTGGCGGCCAAAGCACAACATTGCAGCGTGATGATATTTGCCTAAGGATTGCAGTTTGCAGACCACACCATGGAAGCAGTGAATACAGAATTATTGTAATGTCATACAAAGACAAGCAAAGAAGTGGCCACCATACACCAGAAACTTGCAGAAAGTCACATATCCAACAGATAGAGAAGTGAACAGCATCTGGTACAGCCCACACAAAACCAAGCTGACCTGATACTCGTCCGAAGATCGTAAGTGGCAGATCCTTTTCAACGATAGCATGCAGGTGTACGTTACACGCATGGACAAAATCTGACCGTGTCACCGGCATACATTGCCATCACATGCACAGTAGAAGCACAATAAAAGCAATGGAAAAATATGAAGGGGTTGCTGAAGCATCTTCACACTTCAATTTCAGACTTCGATGTGGTCGTCACGGGGTGATATACCTGCAAGATACAAGTGATACAGAAAGAAAGCATAAGGTCGTGAGGTAGGCTATGAGACACCACAAATGGGTCACCTACATGTATGTTCAGGGCTGGTGTACACACACACGCAGAATTATCATAATCGAGAATTTCCCAAACTACAGAAGAGCAATGAAATCCATTTGCATGCACAGGAGCAATTTGCAGTATGATGCGCAGCTCGGGAATACACCTGTTGGCAATGGATTACATTCCCATTGGAATTCCCATTCACGTGGGATTCACAGAAGCAATTTGGCAGTGTGCTGCGCAATGCGACACGACCTGCGATTCTGCGTGCGATGCAAACTCGCATGCACAGGAGCAATTTTGCAGTATGATGCGCAGCTCGGGAATACACCTGTTGGCAATGGATTACATTCCCATTGGAATTCCCATTCACGTGGGATTCACAGAAGCAATTTGACAGTGTGCTGCGCAATGCAACACGACCTGCGATTCTGCGTGCGATGCAAACTCGCATGCACAGGAGCAATTTTGCAGTATGATGCGCAGCTCGGGAATACACCTGCTGGCAATGGATTACATTCCTATTGGAATTCCCATTCACGTGGGATTCACAGAAGCAATTTGGCAGTGTGCTGCGCAATGCGACACGACCTGCGATTCTGCGTGCGATGCAAACTCGCACAAAATACCATTCACAGAATCACGACAAGACGTCAGCGATGCAACAGTGCCTTGCTGACGTGCCTCAAGTCAAAGCTCAATGAGAATGCGTTGGTCGGTTACAACTGGTACAAATGTACAAGCAATTTCTGAAAATGCTCCTGTGAATCCTACTTTAAGCAGTGCAGGAATGTCCCTCCTCCGCTCCCCCCCCCCCCCCCCTCCACACCCTCAGGGAACTTGACGAGGAAGGGTGGTCTTCGCGGTTCCCAACATCTATTTGCAGTTTCTGGTCTCCACTATGTCTTTTCAATGGGGATTTGTACGTACCATAAAAGCAAGCCTAAAAATGAACAGCACATTTGCCGTTCCGCCACTGGGGAGGATGCGTTCCACAGCTATCCTGACACTCCGAGAAGCGGTGCTGAGTGCAATGCATTGTGAAACTGAAAAAGCTGACCAAGCCGCGGCATATAACGTCTAAACTTCAATTGTAGTTCGCCAGCTGACTACTTTCAGACTCCATGTAGGTCGGAGTACATCTGGCTTAAAAGTTGACCTGAACAACGGCGCACCCACATAAGCAATGACCACCTTACCTGTACTGTAGCAGTACTTCCGAGTTCCCGTATGGGAGTTCCCTCACTGTGTGTGCAATAGCAGCCTCATCGGACCAGTTCAATGCGACGCGGACAGTCCGACACTGAGGAGGACATCGAAGAAGTCAGAGACAGGAAGAATGGTTGATTTACAATTCAACTAGCAAGGCTGCACACCCACGAAGTTCCACTCACCATTGTGCCGTCCTTCTTGGAATGCAGAAATAACGCTTCTTCTCGAGACCGCAGCCTGTGACAGAGAAAAAGGAAGGAGCATCGCCATCGGCATTGGTCCTCTGCTATCACCGATTGCCGAGTTGCACAGTTCACTCTAACAAGACTGAGGATGTTCAAGAACTCCCCATCCATACCATTATTGGAGTAAGAGGAAAGGTCAGATTGCCTAGTTCCACCTAGCATTCCTGGATGCCAGGATGTACTGCCCCCCCCCCCGCCCCTCCCTTCTACTGCCTGGAAAGGGCAACATATGTCACAGCGTTCACCAGTACAGTCGGAGGAGAACATGGGAGAAGGCAAAAAAGGGCAACACACATGAATCCCTTATAAACAAGCAGTGGCAACTCTAGCACCAGAAATGTTGGACTTACACCCCAGCCATTGCCGCCGGATTCAGCGGCTTCTTCTTCTTGGTCTTCCATCTTGGAAGCACTCCTTTCCGTAAG